TAAAACAGAGACAATTTTACTTCTTCCTTTCCAATTTGAATGATCTATCTACCTTTCTTTTTTTGTTTTCTCCCCCCTACTTCTTTTTTCTTTTGCCTAATTGCTTTGGCAAAGACTTTCAATTCTAGTTGAATAGAAATAGCAAGAAGGGGCATTTTAGTTGAATTTGTGATATTAGGGGAAAAGCTTTCAGTTTTTCACCATTGAGTGTGATGTTAGCTATGGGCTTGTCAATCATAGTCTTTAGTATATGATGTATATTCTTTCCATACTTAGTTTATTGAGTATCTTTGTCATGAAAAGGTGTTGAGTTGAATTTTGTCCAATGATTTTTTTTTTGCACCTACTGAGATAATCATGTGATTTTCACTCTTTGTTCTTTTAAATGAGATGTACAACATCTTTGCATCCCAAGGATAAATTCCAATTGATCATGGTATGCAATCTTTTTAATGTAATGTTGAATTTAGTTTACTAACATTTTTCTGAGAATCTATCTTGCTTTTAAGTGTACTTTTTTCTTATTAATGTGGCTAAACATTTAAATATATTTTATTTACTTTTTTTTGGTTCATTGACTATTTATGATTTTACTTATTTTTTTCTACAGAACTCTTTATTTTTCTTATTGATTTACAGGAACTCTTTGTATATAAGCCATGTTAAAGTTTTTTTTAAGTCATCATTTGGTACAAATAACAGTTATAAAAGTTTTATATTTATAAAAGAAAGCATCTTTTCCTTTATTGCTTATTTCATTCTTTTTTATGATTAAACGTTTCTCTTATATAGATCATGTAAGTATCCACCCATATTTTCCTCTTGGTGAGTTGTAATTGGTTTTATACTGATTGCTTCTTGATTGATAAATATCTTAGATATGCCTTATTTTACTTTACCTAACAGTTGAAAGGAATGGATGAAGAAAGTGAGTTGCATAAGCAGTCGACTGACATTTTGTAGAAATAAAGCCAACCTATTTACTGTCCATCTGATTCAGTCAATTCCCAATTATCTGCAGTAAATGGGATCTAGAAAGAGAAAGGATAACATATATTCCATTGATAATCTCCAAACTACATTTCTGGACATGCCTGTACTCAGAAAGATTCTAATGGCATTACATTTTGAGGGTAGAACACTTCAGGCGTTTCTCCATGGTCACATCACAGAGATCACTGATCTTACTGTCTATTTGGTTGACCTTGTTTCCATGACAGAAGAAATCCTTCCATATTGCATGCAAATGAGCTACTTTTCTCCAGAGTAATTATGTTTGATGGCATCTTTGTTGTATATCTTAGTGTGGAGGCCATAATCTCAGCCATTAGAGATTTATTTCTTTGAATAAATCTTTGTCTTTAGGAGAAGTTCTTTAAGAATAACTCTAGGAAACACATACTGTAATTCTTTCATTGTGAGAGGAGGGTCCGGAGGGCACTAGCATAGCCCGTGCAGTGGAGTTTCATTTAACCAAACATCATATAACTTTGACAGATAGCTCTGTCAGATGATAATTTTGTTCTTCCCTAGCATCCACCCCAGTGCCTGGTGTTCTGTGAGTGCTCTAGTGCTCTCTCTAGCTCTTTCTCTCTGTGTTTATTATATATATTGTGCTCATTCTATATATTATATATTGTGATTTACTTTTATTTAACAAGAATTGATGTACTTCTACATTGTTGAAAGTCTAATACAAGCAAATTAGTATGCTTGTTACTTCACCTAATTGTTTTTTTTTTCCCTCTGGTGAGAGTGTTTAAAATCTACTCTTTTATCAATTTTGAAATATATAATACATTATATCAACTATGGTCACCATGCCTTAGTTAAGTCCTTTTTGACTAGATGAGATGAACGGTGTTTGCTAGACTAGACTGTCTTCTATTTGTTGTTTCCATTTCTGAGAACCCTTTATCCCTAGACCCTAGATTATAACTATGTCTCTTTGATCCATTGCTGCCTATATGGATTAAAGTGTTTACCTATGTGTATTATAGTTTCATTTCTGTTACCTGGAGGGTTCCAGATAGAATGAAAAGAGTATGAACTTTGGAAAAATATAGCTTGGGTTCAAATTCTAGTTCTGTAATTTGGGCAAGCGACCTCCATTTTCTAGTCTATAAATCAGGGGAAACATTCTTGTGGTTAATGACAACTAAATATTCACTCTTCCCCACACCTTTCCCCATGAAGGAATTCACTTTACCACCTCTGGTTGTTGATCCTGGCCATATAACTTAGATCTCATTTTGGTTGGAGTGTAGTTCCCTGCACTTGGATCTTCAGTGTTATATAAATGGCCTCACACAAGTGAGGTTGGAGCGCCACCACTGAACTATGTCACCAGCCCTACATCTGCCGTTTGTATGACCACCAAGAACATAAAGTTCTACAAGATTGGAGAAGCCTGAAAACGTTGTCAAAATTTTTACTTTTATTTAAAGCTTTTCCTGTCTTTAGATTAATCCTTTATTGGAAACAATGACTTTATCATCTTTGTCTTGAGGGAGGAGGTTGCTCCTAGCAAATAATTAACTGTCAGCTCTTTCTGATATCAACCACATTTATGCAGTCATATTAGGTGAGGGTTTCAATATACAGATTTTTGGAGGATACAATTCAGTCCATAGCAATATTCAAGCCCAGAAAAAATTAGTAAAGAGGAAAGGGAGGACAGAAAAGGAAGGGAATGAGGAGTCCTGTGTGCTTAGTGTGCAGAGGGCGTATCTGGCTCAGTGTGAGGAGACAGATAGGGAGCAGGGTGGTCAATACAGCAATGTCAGACTAGCTATGATTTAATATCTGACTAGGCAGAAAACCATCAGGCATGTCAGTCAGGCTGCCTCTGACCTGTCAAAGTTACATGTTTTCAGCTCTCCAAAGAGGCTATGAGTTAGACCAGGTAAACGTTGAATTATGGCTGTTGAGTCACTAACCATTATGGTAGCCATGGAATTTGGCTAATAAAGCTGGAAGAAGCCTTGAGGATGGAGGCAAGAATGGAAAATTCCGCTGATTCCCTAATATTTTGTTTCATGATTCTTATTCACTCATGCCTAAAATCTCTACTTAGAGTTAACGAAGTCTCAGAGGTCTTCCTTAACTCCTTGGGACTGGTCCAATCTTCCTGTAGCATAACTTGTGTCCACTTATGCCAAAAATAATGAGTTGATTGGTCATAACATTAATGTTCTTCTCATCTGCATAAACACAGCTTCCACAAGGTCAAATCTGTGTTTCATTTATCATTGTATCCCTAGTGCGCTTATAGTGTTAGCCTAGAGGAAATGCTCAGGAATGTGTGTTGCATGAGTGAATGAATGAAGAAGAAATACTCAGGATTTTTTAGTTGAAGATTTTTTAGTTGAAGAGAAATAACATTTTCTGAAATAACGTTTCATATTATTTGCTGGATTGAACACATTATTAGACTTCACTCTTTTGATGTCCTCTGCATCCCTCCAGTATTCTACTTCTAGAAACCTTCAAATGTAAGGAGGTTCTGACATCCGCCTGGTCTGCCCCTCGGATGGAGGCCTACTCTTTCCCCAAATATTAGTGCCTTGGTTATGGAAATCATTTGCCTCAAATGCATTAGATCTTTTTAGAGCAGGGAGAACATGGGCAGTTGAGCTAAAAGACCTCTTTTTGAGTATTATTTTTTGCTACTTACTATCAATGTGAACTTGGACAAGCCAAGTAATCTGTTTCCTTATCTGAACATGAGTTGGTGTGAGGATAAACATAGTAACATAATGGATAGTGCCTTGTGAGCTGTAAAGCCCTTCAGAAATGTTCATTTTAAATAGGAAGTGATAATAAGGGCCTCCTCTGACAGAGCAGGCTTGGGAAACTGTCATACCAACCCCATTAGATACTGTTTTACATGATTTTATTGTGTCAGCCAAAGAACTACTAATCTACAAATCTGACGAAACTACCTAATTTGGCCCAGTTTTCAATGACAATAGTGAAACCCATTGAATAATGTGGAAAGACCTCTCACAGCTGCATTGAAACCATTAACTCAATTAAGATGTGCCTACCCTGAGAATGTGGCACTAGCAGTCTAAATGGATGTATTAATGGCAAGAGAGAGGAGTTTTGCATCTGAAATCTAGTCATATCTGTAGTTACTCTGAATATGTGACTCTATTTGAGACTGTCTGGAAGATTTAATTCTTTCTGACATAGTGGAATACCTACATTGGGAGTTTTGTGCAATGGAACATTCATGGGATTTTGAAACAGAAGAGTTGAGTGCTGGTTTTATGACTTATTTGTTGTGAAATCTCCCCAAACCTGAGTTTCCTCATCTGTTAAAATCAGAGAATGAATCTTACCTTTTGGGGGTTGGAAGATTTAACTGAGATGATATGTGAAAGCAAGCCCTGTCGCAGAGCTCAGCGAACGATGATTTCCCTTCTCCCCTCTCTTTCCTCCTCCTCTCCTTTCCTTCCTTCTTCTTGAAGTGCTAAATGAGTTGTAAATGACTTTTGAGGTCTTCAAAATGTATTTTAGACTAAGGATATTAGAATTGGAGTATAGATTTCTTCTCACTCGGCTCTGTTGTTCTTTCTCAATGAATTGTCCACCCCCACCTCCCAATAAAAAAATCACTTTTTAGAGAAGGCTTTTTTGAGTTCTGGGTTTAGGTAATGTAATATTTATGCTTGCTCAGTGAGGAGGGGATTCAGAAAGCTAATATATGGAAATAAGTGCCCCGTGAATGATTCTTATCATTTACACCAATTAGTGTTCTATGATTACCATGAAATTGGCAGAACTCAGCACTCAGAAATCACTATACAGATTGTAGAAGCACAGGCATGAACAGGACAGAAAGGGGTTAGTGAGAGTTCATGAATGAATAGCAAGTAGATATATTTAATGCATCTACATGCCAAAATCCAACAGCATAAATACATTCGGCAAAAATTCTTCTTTCTAAAAGTGAAGCATTTAGTCAATAGGGGAGAGGGACATGGCCCTTGTACCTTTAATGAGCTTTGATTCATGCTGATTTTACTGTTAGTCTTGAGCAGATCTAAGGAGGTAGACATTTGAAGTTGCTATGGAGTTCCATCTGTTGACGAGGTGGAATTAGAATTCCGTAGGAGCCAATGAAAATTACATGCAAACATTATGGCCATTTATTATCATTATAAAACGTGATAATGTCATTGCTGACTTACAAAGATGATGACCTGAAAGGCCATGACATTATGACATTACATTTTATCAATAATGAAAAATTGCTGCCTTTGCATGGTGGTTGGTGAGCTCAGGCGACCATGGAAGGGGGCCACGTGTCTTTTTGTTTTTGCCAGACTGGAGATGGAAACAAATCAGCAGGTAGAGAGATTCATTAGAAAGCCAAAGCAAAAAATGGCATCTTTTCTTACCCTGTCTGCCAAGGAAGCAGGGGACTTCACTGACCCAAGGGTTTAATATTCATTAGCGAGGGGCTTGCTTCCAAGTCACTTAAATGGCACTGGAGGCTGCCTTCATAACAGGTTTTAAGACTTGTGGGAAAATGCGTTACTCGGAGAAGCTGTGATGTGTGAGCATCGACAGAGAGCATTCCTTTTTGGGAAGAGATGCTGTGACCTAGCAGATGGGCTGTCATTCCAGGAAAGAGCACAGCTGATGTTAAGACGTCAATTAGCTTATTAGCTTGTTGTTTGTAGATGGGAACTGGGACATAAGTTTCATGGTTGCAGAGACTGCTCATGAGGTGTGCTCCTATGTTTGGAGGGCATAGAGGGGGTGAAAGAGCAACCCCAGATCATCCAAAACCTCAATGTAGCATAACTGAACGTTTCTGGCCATAAGGGGTGATAAATCTGGTACCTGTAGATGGATTAAGAAAAACTTGAGCCGGTTTGCTCTGGTTGAAAAGCCCACAAAAGCTGGGGCTTCTAAAGCTTTCCTAGTAAATCATGCAGAGTTTGAGGCTTTTGTGAGTTTTAGAAAAGATAATTTTCACAAAATGTGAGGAAGGGGCAATGTGGTAACTTGTCTATCTTGATTTTTTTTCCCTTGCATTTATTCTATCAGAGAGCTATAAAGAGTGGCTACTGATATAAAATGCCAAGTCCAGACCCTAACATAAAAACTTGAAAGGAATGTAAAATCTTTAGATTTGAGGTGTAAAATAGATTTTCTCCCCCCACCTCCCCACCTTTTTTACCCAGGTGTTTCATGGCTGACACATAAAAATACCTATTTATCGGTGGCATTCTCCACCTCCCCCTTTACTGTTTCTGCTTAGGTTTGGGGGAAATTCCTATCAATATCAATTTCTTTAGAGGGAGATAAACAGGCCACCTTGGGTTTGGTCTCACCCAAAGAGAACAATAGCATCGACCTCCTCTGTTTTATGTAGTTTCTGGGGTGGGTGTGTCTGTGTGCATGGACGTGCTCATGTGCACTGCCCGCTCTGCCCAGGCTTGTGTGCCATTTTGGAGGCCATGTGTCCGAGCCCCAGAGCTGAGCCTCAGAGTTCCTTCTCTGTCTTGAAGCTGATCCGACTGCTCACATCCCTGCAGCTCAGCCTCCAACTGAGGCTTACCCAGTGGCCTGACCCTTCACTGGTGGGCAGCTCTTGCCAAGGCCTCTTGGCTGCAGCAATTCCCACCCACACCCTGGCCATCACATATTGGTATCACTCTCCCTCTCTGCCTTGGCACAGTGTTTGGCACATTTTAGGAGCTCAACATGTATTTGATGTGGAGCACTCGTAGCAAAAAAAACTTTGATAGCTCACTGACTCATTTCAAAAACACCTGGGAAAAACCCAGACAATCTGTCCTTAGCCTTAGAAGAAACAGTAGTTCCCAAATGTGGTCCCTAGATCAGCAGCATTAGCATTACTTAGGAACTTGTTAAAAATGCAGTCTGATTTGGGGGTCTAGCAATTTGTGTTTTAACAATCTCTCTAGGCCATTCTAAAGCAGGCTCAAGTTTGAGAGCCACTGGCTAAAGGGAATGTTTGAAGTTTTTTTTCTTGAAAGCACAGCATCAATGGGGGAAATTCTTAAGAAATAACTACTGTTTAAAAATAAACATGTTTAACTTCCCAATTATAGTTGCTATGTCCTTTCCTTCTTGCAAAACTGGAAGTGATGGCAAGCCAGGGTTGAGTCTGGAATTTTTGTTCTGTTCTGTCTTACTTTAACCAGATAAGGCCTTGTACCTGGATGGAGAAATCATGATTTGGTCATGTGTAATTTGAGGGGAGATCAGAATATCTCTCCTCTTTTGCAGGAAGGTGCTGCCTGATGTTCAGTCTTTGGCCACTAATCCCCCTGGTTTAAAATAGTCTTAGATGACATGCACCCCTGGGAGGTGTAGCACATAACCAATCAGTGAAACATATGTTATTAAGAATGGGTGTTTGGCAAACCCCTGGTATTCCAGGGCTTACCATTCTAAGCTTCAATGATTTGCAAGTGATCTTGAAGATTCATGATGTTTTGTAAGTGTACATCTTGCTATGAGAACCAGGTTTATCTCTGGTGTGTGAGCCTAGGAGACGATCCACGATCTTTACCTTAAGCCAGCATTAATAAAAAAAAAAAAAAAAAAAAAGAAGCTTTGTAATTTTGTTGTTGGGTGGGGGGTGATAACATGACACAGGGCTAATGGGGTTGTTAGGAAGATTAAATGAGTTAATACACGCAATCCATTTAGTGGTCAAAGACTGAACATCAGACTGAATGAGGCCAGACAAGGCTTCACAGATGTGAGATCGTACTATGACAATGTTTTCCTTGTTCTTTTAGTAGTCGTTCTGAAGTAGCACTGAAATGGACAGTGCAAAGGGAAGGGAGTGTTTGTGCTGAACGTCAATTTTGCCTGAGTGAGGCCGTATTCCCACCTTTTGGGAAGAGCTCAAATGGTCACTTTCCATGTTATCAGCACATAGAGCTTCTGTAGAACAATGTGCCATGTGAGAGGCATGTACACATTAAGCACAGTGTTCAGGAATATAGGCTGACAGTTTTGGAGTGGGGCAGGGGCAAACCATAGATTTTTCTGCACAATGTGGTTAAATATCCAGGTTGCATGGATGTCCTTTAATATCCACAGAATTCTGTTAGTGATGCTTAGAATGGCTTGTTTCCTTGTGGAAGTAGCATCTCAGGACGTCTGCCAAGATGTATTACTTCATGTTCTCTGTTTCTCAAAGGTTCAGTAAGCAAAAGGGGTTATTCTGTGCAAGCTGCTGGGATGATGACAGGAACAAACACCTCAATGTATAAATTTGAGACCTTTAACCTCCCAGCTGTCAAATTTCAATATTTCTGGTCACAATGTTAAATGCACTCTAGTACCCATTTCAGAGAGCTCTGATAGAAAAATCAAAGTTTGCTTTTATATTTATACACTGTTAGTAAGTTGTTAGAAGAAAAATAAAGCAAGGTGACTGGTAGCCATATTTTGTATTCGAAGCTTTACAGCCCCAGCATAATAAACCAGAACCTCTGTTTTCTCTGCAACTTAGAATGCATTCTTCAGATGACCTAGTGTTATTGCCAGCTCTATATCTCCGACCTTTTAAGAATGATAAACACAGCATGTTGAAGGTAAAGTTCAAAACTGGGCCTGGGAAGGGAATAGGGAAGTATGAGCTAAAACATGGCTTTAAGACCCTTTCATTTAAAATCAAATGTGTGGTTGTACATGAAAGATGCAGTATATGTCTGTATAGTTTATCTCCCTTTCCATCTTACAAACTCGTGTGTAATAACCTGAGATGTACTACTGGGATGGAGAGCAGGGGCTTCATATTCTGTTACGGAGACTCACTTTTGCCTTTTAGTGGTAGTGCTGTGTTTTGTTTTGTTCTGAGCAATTCTGTAGACACATATTCCATCATAATGACCTTTCTGACAGCAGATGGGAGGAGGGGGGAATGGTTGGAGAAAACCTTTTTCCTTTCATGCAGTAAGTAATAATTACTTGAAGTGTGTGACAACGATGGAGTGGGTACACTTATCCAAGGACCCATACTGGAAACTTCCTTTGATTCTAGCTCTCATTGTATTCTTTGTTAATATAGTTGTGCAAAAGAGAATGTTTAAATCTTACCTTTCTAAGACGTCCATGAAGCTTCAGAACTGTTCAATTCCACAGATGTTTTTAGGTGTCTTATTGGGATTTTCTAAACTAGATTGACCTGAGCCCAGGCAGTCTCTGCAAATATCCATTTTACACGATTCTCTGCCCGGCTGGGCACTGCAGCCACAACACCATGGAAAGGGCCACCATGGGCCACTGCAGAAAGAGTGGACAGTGACAAAGGAAGCTGTGCTTCCTGTCAGGACATGCATCATAGGATCCAAAGAATATGAGTAATGATCATGTCCTCTTGGGCCCAGGAACTCCATCCGCACACAGTGGAATATTTGACACAGGAAAGTGTAGCTTTGTAGCTTTTTCCCTCTCTCTCTCCCTCTCCCCCTCCCCCTCCTCTCCCTCTCTCTCTCTCTCCCTCTCTCTCTCCTTCCTCTCCCTTTCCCTCCCTTTCC